CCTATATTCAAAGGTTTGGGGTCATTAAGATTTGTAATGTTTTTGAAATTAAACGTATGCTCACTCTTATGCTCACCAAGGCTGAATTTATTAGATTAAAAATATAGCAAAAACAATAATAATGTGAAATATTGTTACAATTTAAAACAACTGTTTGTTGTTTGAATATATTTCAAAATGTAATTTATTCCTGTGATGCAAAGCTGAATTGTCAGCATCATTCCGCCAGTCTTCAGTGTCACATGATCCTTCAAAAATCATTCTAATATGCTGATTTGATGCTCAAGAAACATTTCTTATTATTACTACAAATGTTGAAAACAGTTGTGCTGCTCAATATTTTTGTGGAAGCTGACACGTTTATTTAGGATTCTTTGATGAACAGAAAGTTCAAAAGAACAGCATTTATATGAAATAATATAAATCTTTTGATCATTTTAATCCATCCTCGCTAAATATGCTATATCATAGTGACCGTATGAGTGTACAAGCTGCTGCCCATGTAGTGTCCCAAATCAGTCACCTATGAGGTCCCATTTCTGTCAGGATTGATGCTTATGTAGACAGTAAGGAACAAGGCAGCTCACTAGGGTTTGAAACAGCTTTAGTCAAGATGTCAGCACACACAGTCATTCTTCAGCATGATTGGACACAGAAACTGTGAGTGGGCGTGTCCGAGTGATGCTCTCACAGATCTGATCCGGCTCATCTCACTCTGTGTCGCCACAGGCCGCTGGGTGTTACATTGGTGCTACTGTGTTTCCTTAAAGGAGTCTAATACGTCAAAATAAGGCAGAAGGACAGGCCGTCGAGAGGCGAACTTCCTTCGAGGATAAATGACTGTGCTTGTTAATAGGTTTGTGGAAAACAATAGCTGAGGGCAGTCGATTCCTGTCACACACTCTTTCGTGAGGAAGGACTGATGCAGGACAGAGCTAGTCAAGACTTCCAAAGACTCACAGATTCTCGCGGGACCGCATTAGATTTGCTTCAGCGTGGGACTAAATGTTTGTAGACGCGAGTAGTTATGAGAGTAGTGAAACCTGTGTGACTTCCTTTCTTCTGTGGAAAGCAAAAGATTTTGTCAATACAATGAAAGTCAATGGGGTCCGATATAATTTTAGACCTCATTAATATCTATTTTACTTTCTTTTGTGTTCCACAAAGAAAGTCTTACCGATTTGGACAGACGGTCAGTGTGCTGAAATCATCAGTGAACAACATGCTGTTCACAGATGGTTGTTTAAATGATTTAGTTTTAACTTTCATGTTTACCTCGACATACAAGCTCTGTTCCAAAACCCACTGAGCTGTCTTGCTGTCTACGGTCTACACAGGCAGCTGCCTTCTAAGGGAGCATCCTGACTGAATTAGAACCTTAAAAGTGAGTGATTTGGAACACTCTATAGCAACTCTATTCATCACAACTCCACACATGCAGTGCACAACATTAACAACTGATTTGAATGCAGGCAAAGCAAGAGGAACAATGCAGTATAATTTGCATAAATATACAGTTGTCCTCCAAAAGTTTTGAATCGCCCTAGGCAAAGTGGGGTTTTGGACAATATCAGCATAAATCCTTGTCATTTTAGATGACTTTGCATTGAAAAAGGACAAAACAAACTATTAAAATAAAAAATGAATGAACAAAAAAAAAAAAACATAAAATAGTTTTGTATTTATGCAAATAAATAATTTACGCTGATTTTGTCCAAAACCTCACTTTGCCTATAGGGTTTTCAAACATTTTGAGGACATTTTACGATGTTTTGTGAACTTTTGATCGTTTTAAGATGTTATTATTTAATTAAAAGAATAATAATAATTTAATAACAATACTTTTAAAATAATAATAATAATACATTATTTTTAGGACTTTTCCTGGAAATTAACATAAAAAATAGTTTTTAATATTTCCAGGTTTTCACTGATCAAGTAGTGGTAAATAAATAAATACATAAATACATGAACTGAAAACATACAATATTTTCCTGCATTTTTATACATTAACATCAAGAAATGATTCATGCTGATTTCATACAATACCTCATTTTACCTACGGCATTTCAAAACATTTTGGTTTTAAGATTTTATTATTTATTAATTATAATTAGAAGAAGAAGAAATGTTATTATTATTGTTAGTAGTAATATCGTTAGCATTATTATTAAAAAGTATTATTTATGATTTTTCGTGGAAATTGGCATTTTAAAACAACCTCATATTTCCAGGTTTTCCCTGATCATGGCAGATTGTGGGAATGGACCTTGACTGAGCAGACGGGATGAAAATGATTATAAATTGGGAGCAGATGGACACAGAGTAAAATTCCCGGGCGGGTGGGGAATGAAACTTGCTGGACTAAGATGGAAAAACCCGTCCTGTTGTAGACCTCTACACTCCAGTTTAACTAGTCTGAAGCGGAGAGACTGTGAACTCCTGAGAGTGTCTGGTTATAAAGTGCTGTGTGTCTATTTGTGTGGGTTGATGTGTGTTTAAAGAGTCAAGACTTATTCTCCCGGCAGATGCCAGAACGGTGTGTGTGTGTGTGCATGATACATGTCTCAACCAGACGGAGGAGTTGTGTATTTTTAGTTGGGACTACACTCTCTTATAATGAGCACACCCCCACTGCGATCCGACACCTCGCTGAAACACGGATCACAGAGAGAGAGAGAGAGAGAGAGAGAGAGCGAGAGAGGACTACCAAAGTGAATGTGTGATGATAGCAAAAAAGTTCAAAATGACAACCCAAATAAGCCAGATGAGGATTCAAGAAAAAAAACAAAACAAGATTACTGCCAACAATTAAAATTTGCTGAAAATTGATTCACCCTTAGGCCATCCGGTGCCGTCAGAATGAGAGTCCAAACAGCTGATAAAAACATCACAATAATCCACAAGTAATCCACACAAAACAAATCCATCATTAAGGATTTCAAACCATTGCTTCCAGGTAAAATGACAGTCCTCTATAATATTCAGGGCATGCAAATTTTCAAAATCCCTCATAGCCCTTGGGCAGGCACTCTTCAGATTTTGATAGCCCAAAATAAATGTAACTAGCCCGAATAAAAAAAGAAAAATTTTGTTGCTGAGCAAGTGATGACATGCTACATTTCTCCAAACCTGTTCTGATGAAGAAACAAACTCATCTACATATTGGATAGCTTGAAGGTGAGTAAAATTTCATTTTTGGGTAAACTATTCCTTTAAGACAAAGTCAAACGTTGTGAGCAGAGGAAGTAAACTCACTGGTATGACTAATTGACACTGATTGATAACCGGGTAGGATACACAAGGACGACCATTGATTTTGTGATAAGCTTGTGTGGATGGAGTACTTCATTAGCAAAAATCAGACATCGTACTTCAGGACTTGCCAATGACTAACTGTTGATTGGTCACCTCACACTTCCTGTGGACTTAAAACCAAAAGCTGAGATGTGACGTCAAAGACAGCAGCAGACAGACACAAATATAAGTCCATTTCACACTCTTAAAAGCCCTCCAAAAAAGTATAGTCAACTGTAAATCCATAATAATATAATGAAATACTTGTCATTGCATATATATATATATATATATTAGGGCTGCCCCCTAATAGCCGACTAACCGTTAGTCGACCAGAAGAGGCTTGGTCGACCAAAATTTTTTTAGTCGCAGAAAAAAAAAATCCACAGGCAAAGTCACGCAGTTCGTGACGGACAAATCGTTAACGACTAGTCTATGGTAATACAGTAGCCTACATCGGGCAGGACATCCAAACGCTCACCTATCAGTCATCCACTACAAATATGGCTAATCATCTGAAATATGTAAGTATTAGCAACTTTACATGACCACTCAATCTAATGTTAGGCTAACCTAGAAAAATGTGCGCTATTGAAGCGTCTGTGTGGAGTGTAGAAGCGCGCTCACTGCAGGACAGACGGAGGCGCCGATGCGGTCACTCGCTCTTTAAATACTCCGTCATTTCTGGTCATACAGACAAGAGTAATACATCTTTCGTATCCGTAAAGACTCTACGTTTATTTATGTGCACTCACAATAACAATAAAACATTGCGCTTTTGTAAAATAATGAAAGCAAACAGGATGCGCTTTCTGCCGTCGCGGTCTCCGTGAACTTGAGCGTGTATGCTCCGTGTATGCTTGCCTTACAGACATAGAAAAAATATATCCATAGAGAGTGAAAGGTCTACTTTCAAATGAACCAAATCAAATGGAAAACAAATATCCTCGGATTAGATTTAAATTGCTTATTAATAAATGTGCGATTAGTCGACTAATGCTTAAAATGAATGGCTACTAGTCGACCAGAACATTTTTTAGTACAGTTTATACAATTTAAAAAAATTGTATATATATATTATATAGACATAGATAGATAGATAGATAGATAGATGTAAAGGTTCCTTGTAAAGGAATGTAAAGGAACCTTTACATATTTAATAAATCAGGCTTTTATGGCTCATATAGTGTGATATAGTGAGAATATGAAGCTAATACTTGAGGAGGAAAAAAAGTTTCCTTCAAGTTTAATTCAATTCAGAGGCTCAAACTGAGCAAAAAAAAAAAGAAGCAATTTGGTGCAGTTAGTGATATCTATATGGCCAAAAAGTAAGATGAAATTCTGATAACTAGTAATGTAAATCAATGAGATGTTTATAACAGTAGCAGACTACTTACATAAAATGCTTATAAATATCAGTTGTCACTATTTCTCCCAATAACATGTCCTATTAGGTTGATATTTAAGTGTTTAGTTTTATGATCAAAGTTTTGTAGTTAAAAACATATAATGCAATGATATACCATAATGAAAGGAACAAATAAACGCTCCTCAAAAACCTGATGATCATATACGATACTCACATTTTAACATGATTTATCAAAAAATGATGCATGGATAATCAAGGAAACCTAAGCTGCTATATATCTGCTTATTTTGAGCATATATGGAAATTAAACTGTCTGTTTTAAACCAGCCATTACCTTTTGTCGGCGGGAGGTGTTTCCTTGTCAGCTGGTGCCTCCTGTAGATCTGGAAGGTTGGCGAAGTCATCTTGTTCGACCAATCCGATCGCGAGGGACAGTACGACCATCTTCCCCTCTCTGTCACAAAACACAGAATCAAACAAGTGGTGAGCAGAAGCCATTATAAACTAGAAAAGGAAATCAAAATGAACTTGGATGTTGACTTGACAACTGGTCTTAAAGCTAAAGAAAATAAAAGTTTAAAAAGGCTTCAAGCTTGAAAGTACAGATAGACAGAAGGGACTACGGTTAAAAAAAACAAAAAAAAAAACAAGATGGTACAATAACAGTATATTGGCAAGTGTAGGGCATCAGAGCAAATCAGACAATTTAAGATTTGGTCAGATTGGTGTTGAACAACCCAAAGAGCCGAATTCCACAAAGAGGCCCAAGACAACAGGATGTTCGTAAATCAGATCCTGGCGCCACGAGTCTGAAGTGAGCCTAACAAACTAGCAGCTTCAAACAGCTTTCAACATTAACACAAAATAACACGTTGATAATTTCAACTCGGGAAGGAGATTGTCAATTTTGGGGCAAGTAACCAAGATTGATGGTCAAAGAGATGCACAGCATGACCATCACATGTAAATCCATGATAGTAATCACAGAGCTAAAGACTTTCTTCGGATTGACTTCCCCCCACCTAGGAGACAAGAACCAGACTGAAATTCCCTCTAGTCCCCTTTTGACCTCTGCTTCTCACAGAACACTTTCTCACTTTCACAGAATGGCAGAGAGACTGCCTGTACATGTATATATATATATATATATATATATATATATATATGTATATACAGTGA